AAAACACCGCTCTAACCTGCCAGAAACAACAAAAAAACGTTATCAACTACCTAAAGGAGACCCAACTACTAGACCAGTTATAAAGAGTTAATTTTGACACGTCGCTGAAGACATCGTAGTCGATGCGACGCTAAACCCCCATTTAAAAAAAAAAAAAGAGAATAGAATAGAATATATAATTTGCAGGTAACAAAAGAACTTGCTCAACTTATATTTCCCTTCAAGATTGAAGAATAACGATCTCAAGTTTTTCCTACAGATAGTGATTTGAGATAGTTTGAATCATTTGTATTGTATATCTGAACATGATTCGAAGTTTAAAACTCTTGAAAGTTTTAATAAATTTCAACTCTTTAAAATCTCGAATGTCTTTAGAGTTGTGAAAAAATTTAATAGCATAATGAGTATTCAATATCTTGCAAGCTTTTTGACTGCTTTTTTCGAACACTATCATTGACATGAAATTTAAAAAAAACCCAGGAAGTTCGAGTTATAATAAATATATTTCTGTTTTTCTTTTTCATAGCTTGCAGTACATATTTCGAATGTTGTAATAAATTATAATAAATTTAATAATTAAATAATAATAAAATTAATAATAAATTTATTATATTTGTTATTAATTTTTATTGCATTGTATTGTAGCAATATTTAATATAAAAAATATGTAGACAAAAAGTTGAAATTACACACATATAGAAAATTGAATCTCCCGTATTGTAAAAAAATAATATTTAATGGGATTTTGTTCAATATTTTAGGTGGAAGATCGTACACCATTTGTGACAGTTGCTTTACAAGAATGTGAACGAATGAATCTATTGTGTGAAGAACTTCGAAGATCTTTACAAGAATTGGAATTAGGCTTGACAGTAATGACAAATTTTAATATATTTTTACATTTTTTGCTGTATACTTTTATACGTACACATACACATGCACATGGTATATAATTGTCATGATTTTTCAAGCATTTCCAATAATTTAACGCGAAAAAAAAATTGTTTACGCGAAAGTCCATCAGTTTTCAATCAATTACAATATGCTATATTTAAAGTATCTAAAATACGTTTCTTTCAAACTGTTTTTAAACATTTTTTATTGTTTAATGTTGTAATTGATATCAAGATGAATTCAACTTGCTATAATACTACGATCTTGAGATTGAATTTTGAAATACCAAAACGAGAAAAACATTATTCTCATAAATTATTTTATTTGAATTAAATTGTACGTTTTTAAATGATCTAAAAGAGATAAATATAAATATACGTTTTTAAATGATTTTAGAAAGATATAAATATAAATATACGTATAAAAATGAACTATATTAGAAGTATATTAAATATATGTATAAAATATTACATATTTTGTGCAGTGTCGTGGTATATTTAATCGTTTATTCACAATAACTGATCATTTTTTGATAAACATAATTCCAATTAGTAAAATATATTTGCATTAGTTACTATTGTATAGACTGCTTGCGATGAACTTCTTCGTGTGCTAAACATTTTTTATATTCTGAGAATTCATTGCAATGGAGTTAAATGATTGAAACGTTCTGACAAATGTATATCAGAACAACAAATAAATTAATTCTTATTTTCCAATTTTTTAATTTTAGATACTAATTTTAAAAAATAAAGATCGTTAATATTATTCATATAAGTTAAATAATAAAATTTAAAAAAGTAAATTAATTGATAATTAATTACTTTCTTGAAAGGGAGAATTAACTATCAATGCTGAGATGGAAGAGTTAGAAAATTGTATACTGATGGATATTGTTCCAATATCTTGGACAAAAAGAGCTTATCCTTCGGAATTAGGATTAAACAGTTGGTTTGCGGATTTGTTGAATCGAATAACTGAATTATCTAATTGGACTTCCGATTTCAATGTAAAGTTTTATTTATCATATAAAGTAATGTCCTGTTAATATCGAAATGTTTAAATTTATGGCAAATTTTAAGACTTGGAGTTCAATTCAAGTTATATAAATATATAAATATAAGAAATTTTAACTATTTTTATTCTTTCTCGATTGAAAATATTGTAAAAGATTGCTCAATTAAAATGACTTTAAATATTTTAATTAATTCATAAAGTATCATAAAGAAAAATTCATTCATTCATTCATAAAGAAATTAAATGAAAAAAAAATTAATCAGTTAAATCATCAATAAAATTAATTTTAAAATTCATCTAAGAAGGAATTTCTAAAACATAAAATATAATTGTTTTCCATTATGTTTGTGTTTATGTTTATATTACTCAATAAAATGTTTTCCTTGCAAAATTTCTTTATAAATTCATGTCAATTGAAAACATCTGACAAATCTATTTTCATTGAGAAAAAATAAAAATCCATTCTCAATTTTTTCGTGCATCTATGTTTAATATAAATTTGTTTTATCAATTACAGTTTGGAAAATGAATTATATTTGTAGAGTAACAAAAATGACAAAGTTAATATTTAGGTCTTTTCCCGACGATATTAACAAGTCATTATTATTTACATATGAAGCACATAATTTTTTAAATTTATCAATTAATGTTAAACTGTAAAAAATTCGTCAATTCGTAATTATAGCAATTAACCTATTTTAATAAAAATTTACAGTTACCACCATCGGTATGGCTAGGTGGTTTCTTCAATCCTCAATCATTTCTAACTGCAATTATGCAACAAACTGCACGCAAAAATGAATGGCCACTGGACAAAATGTGTTTATATTGCGAAGTATTGAGAAAATACAAAGAAGAAATCACGTAATTATTAAAAATGTTATTCTGTTTTTCCTTTCAATATACTTTTATTTATATTTTTCTTTTCTTCATATTTTAAATATTGGATATATTTTTTTAATATATGTATATATTTTTAAATACTTTTAATATTTTATTTCAAGTATATATATTCAATAAACCATCATTGACGAAATTCTTTAGCATCTGAATATTTCTAATAATTCTTTTGTATTCAAATACTTTTTTAAAATTCTTTTATATTATAAAAGAATTTTAAGCATTAAACAAATATTGTTCAAAACGTATAATAAATTTTTTATTATAACTTCACAGATCAGCGCCAAGAGAAGGCGCATATATAAACGGATTATACATGGAAGGTGCACGATGGGATATGCAAGCAGGATGTATTATGGACTCTCGATTTAAAGAATTGTTTCCATTATTACCAGTAATATATATTAGAGCGATTACACAGGACAAACAAGATTTAAAAAATATGTATGAATGTCCTGTATACAAAACACGATCACGAGGGCCTACTTACGTATGGACGTTCAATTTGAGAACTAAGGAAAAGTCTAGTAAGTGGATTCTTGGTGGAGTGGCAATTTTATTACAAATCTAATATTTTATGTATTAAATTATGAATTAAATTAAATAAAAGATTAAACATCAAAATTAACAAAAATTGTTAGCGTACATTTTAAAAAATATAATGTTATATTATATTATATAATATTACATACATATATTATATAAATATTATATAAATATAAATAATAATGTTATTTTATATAAAAAATGCATCATCTACGCACGATTTTTATTTATTTTATCCACATTTAATTTTTTTACATAATAAAAATTCATGTATCCAATTCATAAAATTATGAATATGAAAATATATTTTTAAATATCATAAAGAAAAAATTATTACAAAAAACGCAATTTATTTAGAACATATAATACTAGAAATATTTTATACATGTTACAATTTTTTATTAACAATTCTTATCTTCTCTTGAATCCATATTTTTTCCTTTCGTAAAATAGATCAGTTTTCGAACTTCCAAGATTTACGATCTTTGGACAACCATCTCTCTGCAATAAACCAAATTTAAAATCTTAATTTGATATTGTATTATATATTGTATTATACATAAAATTATATAAGTTATAATTATATAAAGAATTCTGGATAATATTCTGCAATAGGCCTTACACTTTCATTTTTAAACATTGTAAATATATGTATGTTATATATGTATTATTTTAGAATATGAGAAACATACCTACGTAGTGATTAATTTTAAAGAATGAATTATTTAAAAAGGAGGCAGATTTACATTTTTGGTATTCAAAATTATCATTATTATAAACTGCAATTTGTTACTATGTAACAAAGATCTTCAAGATCAAAGAAATATTTATAGATATTTAATTAAAATGGTTTTTATTAATCATAAAATGTTTTCCAGACCATAGCTAATATACCAAACTAATATAATTATTTTCAAATTTTCTTCATTTTCTAGTATTGTTTCTATTGCATATATAATATAATAGTTTCCATTACATACAAATATAATATTACATAAAAAATTTGCAAGTAAATACACTAATCAAAAGACCAATAATTTATTACGATATTATAAATTTCATGAAATGAAATATATAAATGAAATGATGAAAATACATTGACCAAAATTTTGAAATAGCTTGTGAATTTAGTAATACAAACTGATTGTACAAAATTAAATGTTACATTAACATAATATTGATAGGTTTAATAGATTAAGAAACATTCATTTAATAATCTTCAATTAATCAATTAATCTTTAAATCTTTTGATCTTATTTTCTTATAAATCTTTTACTTCTTAGCATTTTTTTACAAGGAATTTATGAATAATCAAATAATATTTTAAATCTGCTTCAAAAAATAACATAAAATATAAAATAATAAAGATGAAACAGTAGTCATTAATCTAATCATTTAATAAAATGATGAAAATAAAAAATTTCATAATTTCATAACATGTGTTCGTTATCTGAAGAAGAGAATGACTTTACATAAAAAAATAAGATGAAAAATATTAAAATTTTTTTCGTTCAATATCTCATCAGATAAATAGAATTTAAACATGCTTACTTAAAAATTGACGTGATAAGTGTGTACCTGATAAATTTTCAAATTTAATTCTCTGAGAAACAAAACTTCTCATAAAAAAATTTTATTCTACACTTTTTTATTTATTTTCATATATAGAATAATCTTTTATTTATTATTCACTCTTATTCAGTTGAGATTTTCTTAAAAACAAAATCTTGAAAGAAAAAATTTCATTCTTTTTTTTTTATTTATTATATCATGTAGATATTTTTCCAATTGTTTTCGTAGATTAGAAATATCTTACATATTACAACAAATGTTAAATTATTTTTTTAATAACTCACATCTTTCTCCTGAATCGTGCATTCCTTGCAGTAATAAGCATCAGATACACCAGGTCCTCCACAAATAACACATCGACCCTGGTAAGATCCATAATTGCATTCATCACAAATTCTAACCAGAGTACAAGGCCTTACATAGGAATCACAAATTACACATTTACCATCACATTTTTCACATAATCTTCCTATTGCTGAAAATGAAAAATCTTATTTACTTCAATACTTGCACTTTATATTATATATATATATATATATATATATATATATATATATATATATATATATATATATGTATGTATGTATGTATTTCATATACAAAATTATAAGTATGTTTATAATTTTGTGTTCATTATATAAATTATTGCATAAATTGAATTAATTATATACAAACTAAAATTAAAATATGAATACATATATATTTTAAAAAATTATTGTTGTATAATTGTTTTATAATTACCAATGAAGATTCAAATAACAAATCTAATTATTTATTAAGGAAGCTCACTATTTGTTTATGCAATACCACTATACATTCCGAGACAAAAAATAGCACATTCTAAAAATTATTAGACTTCTGTTTATTGATGAAACAAATGATATAAAATTAAAAGATATAACATTTTTTTTGTTATATGCATTCTTCTGTAGTGCTTTTATCAACATGCATTAAACTTTTCGCAATACATTTTGTGTTATTAAAAAAGAAATAGAAATATGACAAACTGATAGCACAAGAACAATGGATAGAAACAAAAGAAACGAATTTGACAATTGTTTAATACTTAGTAATACTTATGATCTCTTTTGCATTTAATAAAGGCAGCCATTCTTTGAGGCAAAGATTTAGTTTATAGTTTAGTTTATAGTTTCTTAATGATTTTTTGGTTTAATTTTTTCCATTCCTTCATACTTTTAATTCATTAATATTTACAAATTGTCTTCCAGTCTGGTATATGACCCTCGTCAAATTCCCTCAACAATTTTCTATAATATTTAAGTTTGGAAACTTGACTGGCTATTTAAAATTTTTTTGTAAAGTAAATTTTTTTGTTTTACTGCTATCACGGTGTACAGGATGGCATTATCATGTTGCAAAATGTACTTATTTCCAGCAGTTTGTGTTACATGTTACTTTGTTCGTCAATCATTTCAACATACTTTCTACTATTTAATTTCTCTGTAATAAATTTTATTCCCATTACCATAATAACTAATACCTCCTCAAATCATTATACCACCGATTTTTATAGATTGATAACTCACAATCAGTTGCTGCTTCTTTCATAAATTAAGACATAATCAAGTCTGTCTGAACTGAATTAACAAGTTTCTCTGCAAATTACAAACGGTACAACTTATGCTTTTGCTTTAACCAAGGTTTTCGTTGCATTTTTAATCCTTGCATTTTTAATTCTTTAAAAGACATCGAACATTCCAAACATTTGACATATCCAGATTTTTCTGTAATTTGTCTCGCAATCTTGAATTTGACGCTACACGTATAATAGCACGTTTATCCAGAGCTGTTAGATACTGTAGTTGTCCACAACTTTTTCTTGATTTTCTATGATTATTGGAATCCTTTATTAAATTCATTATCACTTTATGACTTCAATGTTGGCTATTTCTTTCACAGAATAATGTTCTTTACTTAATTTCAATATTTGTATTTCAACTAAATTTAACATTTTCCTGCGACCCATTTTGTAAATTTATTTATTATGTTAATATGCACATAACTGACTGTATTTTACACGAATGTTACGCTTTCGACAATTTCTGTACGACTAAGGAGCGTAAATATTCGACTTGTGCTATCTTTTTCTCATGACTGCACAATATTTACATTTTCTTTTGTATCTCTTTGCGAAATTACATCTCAGTGATGACATTCAGTGTACTACACATTCACCACAAAAAATATTAATGTAATAATCTACGTATTCTCTCTATTTCACGGTACGTAATATAAGAAAATATAGAGTGTGTTATGTTTTTGTCTCGGAGTATATGTACTTTAAATGACAATAGTATATTTGAATTAAATACAAAATTCAAAATAATTAAATATTTACTAAAACTAAGAATAATAATAAAATAATTCTATTTTTTTGCTGAGCACGAATTTCATAAAAAATTAGTATTCTTCAAACAAATAATAAATTAATCAATAATACATGATTCTAACCTAAAATTGTCTAAATTGTAATTTAATATAAATCTTACCAACTCCTGGTTGTTTTCTGCAAAAAATTAAATCAGGATGATGTTTTGCCATATCAAAGAATTAGCGGAATATTTTAAACATATACAAACTGTTGCATAAATTTTTTTTAGAACAGTCTTAACTTTGTTTATGTTTTATGATCTTTTAAAACAACAGTTTTAGCAATTCAGCAATGATATTTAAAATATACAAATATTAAAATAAAGATTACAAATATTTTCAACTTTGTTTTATCTTATTTGTATTAAAATAATACAATATCAATGCACTTATTTTAGCAATTATTTTTAGGATTATTTCACATGGATTAGTAGTTGGTACCTATGAAATTGAGTCACTTTATTCGATGAAGCCCGCGAACAATTGAAATCAATTATTGAAATATAAGAAAATTACATTATGTTATATTATATATTATTATGTTATTATAACTTGCTCTAGATATTAATATTCTAAAATACAAAAAAGTCAATTCTTCTTGAATTGGAAATCTTTCTCCTAGATCTGCGTGGTTCAATGTTAAAATGATCATCAATGAAGAATTTTCACATTGTTATTACTCTTAGTGCAATTTATAATATTTTTACTTTTAAAATTAGAATTATGTATAATTAAGTCTTATTTTCAGAAATAGATCTTTAAAAATCATATGTAATTCAACTGAAACTTTTAATTTATTACAATATATAACAATTAAATTCGAAGTTTTCTATTGGTATTTCTTATTATTTATTTTATCCGCATTTCTTTTTAAAATGCTGCATGGATCTCTTTCGCATTTACATATACTACAGATGATTTCGAATTTTGCTCTTAATATACGCATCGATATTACATATAAAGCCAAGTTCATACGCTAGCATAACAATATTAATGCATAAAATTTCATGAAATGAAATATGCATTGAATATGATGAAATGACAATAAAATAAAATTTAATGTTAGGAGAATAATTTTATTTTATAAGTATATTACAATATTTACTTTACTTATTTATTCCTTTTTCTTTCTAACTTATTTAATATACATATGTAAGAAATATGTAAAATATGCATTAACAAAGTTTTTAGTAGATTTGTTCAGATAAAAAATTTATTTGTAAATAAAGTATACATTCATACAGTTTACTGTTTATTTGGTTACTGTTACAAATATATACTACCTTTTAGTTTTGTAATAATTTAAAAATGAAACACTATGGAGATATAAAAGACTGATTTTTTGACTAAAGATAAAATTTAAAAGAAAAGACAGATCTCCAACTAATAAATTTATAATTCTAAATATATTGAAATTATGAATTAATAGTTTTTACGTTATTTCAATGAGTATATTATTAATAGAAAAATGATTCCTAATTACAATTATATACCCTTATTTATACTTTTAGATTTGAAATTAACATTCGAGATTCGAAGAACTTGCGAATGCTTCAAACTTCAAATATAAACATCATCATTTGCTATATCTAGTTAAATACACAGCAGTAAATATGTCCGAACATTCGATATATGATATGGCTTATCGTGGTAAAATTACAGATGTTAAAAATTTACTGAGAGAAAATGAAAAATTAAAAACAGCCAAAGATGGTGTAAGTGTATAATTATTTATATAATATATTTTTTAAGGTTATGTCATTAGTCAAATTTATCTCCTCAGAATGGTCGAATGTTATTACATTGGGCAGCACTTGGAGGACATGATGATTTAGTAAGATTTTTATTATCTCTTGATGTACCAGTAGATCCTACTGACGACGTAAGTAAAATAAAACATTAATAAATAGTTTATCATATCTATAGTAAATTATAAAATGTTTTTTTCATTAGTTACTAGTTCTATTCAATATTACCAACATTTATTTTAAATATTTATCATTTCTAACTATATCTCGACATTTATAAAGCAATTTTTCTATTCATGTAGAGATTTTACAAAATTAGAGGGTTGCAGCAAGGAAGTAGCTACATATTTTTTGTTATATACATTATTTCATTAAAAAAACATGATCTTTCAGTTGATATAAAAGAAGTTAGTTGATAAAAATTTATCAACATGAATGTTATTTGACTATAAATTTATAGCAACTTTGAAACAGTATCAGATTTTTAATTGCTTTTTATTAAAACTATCGAAAAGTGGAATGAAAAAATCTCTTTGCAGCAGCACTTTAATTACTATGTGAAAGAAGATTCTAAAATTATTTAATTCTATGTCATGAGAAAATTTAAGCGAATTAGAATATTATTTTGAATTTTATTCAATATGTCATCTTTTAATATGTTATTTTGGTATATATAATAATTTGATATATAAAATCAATGTTGTTATTCATAAAATACATAAATATAAAAATTAATTAAAAACGATTTAAAAAAAGATATTTTTCTATATGAAATAAAATTTTAATTATTTTGAATTAATTTTTATAAACAGCAATAAAGTTATTTATTTAATTTTTATGAATAAACAATAAAATTTGTATTCTCATTTTGCATTTATAATTATCTTCATTTTTTTTAATTTTAAAGAAATTTGAAACACTGTAATTTGTAATTTATGATACATTAAATTATTTTATTTTTCCACGCGAAAGCAATTCAGATTGTGATTCTCCTATGATATATATTATATTCTAAAAATCAAAAACTAACAAAAATTAACAAATATATTATTATATATTATACGTTATTTTAAAATTATTTTAGTTTATTTACATAGTAATTCTTTGATGATTTGAGTCATTAAATTTACTTATAAAGTCGAAATCGTAAAATCTTGTTTTTTAAGTGGAATTGTAAAAAACGTTGTTTGTTCTCTCTATCGAATTATGTTATTATGTTATTATGTTCTAAAGTAAATTTTACTTATTAAACTTTCGATAATCTACTTATGGTGAATAAACGATATTATTTCTTTGTGTTATTCGTAAGATTTCTTGCATTTCTAATATTGGATACAAGAAATATATATTTTAAATTCATTAATTATTTGGGCATTTCTTAAAATTATTATATGAAAATTAATATACATGTAAGAAGTAAATATTAATACTTATTTTATATGTAAAAATAATCAAAATAATATCTTGAAATTAAAATAATATCTTAATAATAATAAAATAATATCTTGCAAATATCAATATATTAAGAATAATAATTTTTTAAATTTGACACATTTTAAAAAATGATATCCTATATAAAAGAATGAAAGAATTTTATTTTATATTTTCAGTTATGCAAAAAATTACCTTCTTTCTAATTGCATCAATTGTAACTTTTCAATTTTATTAAATATAAAAAATATTAAAGAAAGATTAAACAAATTTATATTTTATACTACAAATTGAGTTAACTTGAGTTATTATAATTTTATGTTAATATCTCTTTTTGTTATTATTATATTTATTAATATAATAACATATTAATTAAATTAATTAAATATTTAAATAACATATATTAATTAAATTAATTAAATATTTTAATTTTGATGTTTAGACGAATATGACACCATTAATTTTAGCAGCGTCAGCTGGTCGTGAAAAAGTTGTTAATACTTTACTAACTGAAGATGCAAATGTCAATGCCAAAACACAAGAGGGTCATTCAGCATTGCAATACGCGGCATCAAAAAATTGGAAATCCATTTGTGCTGCATTATTAGAAAAAGATGCCAATGTTAATGTTACTGACAATCGTGGTGCTACGCCACTGCATAGAGCCGCATCTAAAGGCAATATTGCTATTGTGAACCTTCTGATAGAACACGGACAAAATTTAGATATTGGTAGATATTTAAACTTAAATCCTTCTTTAATCCACAAATTATTATATGTAAATTTCCAATTTTCTATTAAATTTCAAATAATTATTTCTACTTAAAAGTCAAAATCAATATTTCAATTATGTTAGTTTAATTAAGATTATTATGCTAGTTTTTTTTTCAATTAATGTAATTTAAATTTTGAACTTCCTATTGTTTTTAAATAAATTTAGCTAAATTTATTTTTGTTAATCTTGAATAATAATTTACATAAGTTATAAATATTAATTTTTTCATAATGTGTATATTTTATCTAAAAAAAAAACTCTTCTTTTCAGACAGTAAAGATGCTGATGGCAATAGTGCATTACATTTGGCATGTGAGGAAAATCGTGTCGATGAAGCTAAGCTATTAGTAGAAAATGGTGCTAGTACGACGTTAATGAATAAACAAAAGAAAACTCCTCTTGATTTAGCAAGTCCAGGGTTGATACGACAACTAAAAGAAATAGAGGAAAATTTGTCTTAAATAGTAAAAGAAAGTATTAGTGTTTTGGTTCAGTGATATTCAATTTATTTCTTTAGTGTTAATGCAAATTTGAATTTTAGCAATAAAACAGATGTTTTATGTTTATTAAATTCATAAATATAATATTTTTATTACACGAGTAATTTTGTTATATTAAAATTAAAAATAATAAAATTTTTAATCTATGAGATATAATTATAATTAATGCTTGAATGAATTCCCATGTATTTTTTAAATTAAAAATATGTGAAGGGAGAATGAAAAACAGAATATTTTATACCTTATATAATTAGCATTTTGATGTACATCAATATTTATAGTTGTAATAGATATAAAATGAATAAAAATAACATTAATATCTTTTCTAATTTGAAAATATAATATTTCTATATGTTATATGAAAATGTTATAGAGGAAAATCAAATAATGTATGGAATAATGTTTAAAATTATAACATATAATTAAAAACGTAAAATGTTTAAAAAATTTTACAACATTTTTATAACTAGTCTTCATATAAAGTTTAATGAAATCATTTAATTTAGCACCATTTAAACTATTCCATCTTTTATCCACACAGTCTGGATAATTGAAAATGTTTCTTCAAACGAAAAGAGAGAAACATGGTGAATATTATACAAATTAAAATGTTATAGGTCATTTATATTTAATATGAAATTATAGAAATATTCATTTTAGTAAAAATATATATACATACTAAATAAGACAAACATTTCATAATTATATTAGTATATTGTAATTAAAATCATTTATTATTATAAAATTTCAAAATTATGTGCACATAGTTTAAAAAACAAAAAAGTACGAATAATAATAACAAATAACATAATTAAATATTTAATTTTTTTCTATTAATAAATTGAAATACTATTCATTTTTTTAAATACTAGAAAGGATTCAATAAAAAATACACAATTATAAAGGAATAATATATCAATCATTAATTACATAGTTAATTGAAAATCACTGACCATAACAGTTTCGTTATTATTTTCAATTTTTAGCATTTATTATGCCTTCCTTTTAACATACTTAAGTGTATTATTAATATTTGATTTATATTTATATAAAAGGTATCAAAAAAGTTCATCATTTTGCTGGTCAAATCCTATTTACTTATCGACCTCTCTTTCTTATTCTTTCAGTTAATTTATTTTTTCCATAATTATTTATTCCAACCCTATCAGAATTCATATTTTTATATAGAAATAACGCTTAAAATTTCAGAATTAGTTGCTTAAATAAAACGCACCACAGTTGAGAATTATTTTCTGCGCTTATTTACACAAATTCACAGCGATTCGCATAACATTAGATGGTTTAGATTTCTTTTTTCGTCAGAGAAATTTTGGATGGTTTATAAAAAATATATTATTAACGTTTTTAGTTTTTAGCTTATTTTTATATATAAAGTTTTCTATATTATTTATTATCTTAGACAAATAATTTGTTACAAAACAAATGATCAATGTAAAAAGTATATACATTATTGTAATTTTTTCTAATTCTATATTAAATTTACACTCAACTTTTTGAGAATAAATAAAACAACAAATATTCATCCTCTAAAATATTAATCCTTTTTAAAATTTTGAATAAATTAGTTGAAAATCTTTAATAATGGATCAGGAAAGAATGGCATTTAAAATATATATACTTATATGTATACAAGTATATTAAAAATAAAAAAATTCTTACTATTTATCATAAATTTTTTTCATTAATTGAAAAAGGAAATGAAGGAAAAATAAAAAAATTTTTATTATGGCTATATTGAAGATATTTTAGTATAATTGTTATGTTGATTGAATTCCTTTTACATTATTTATTTATTATCTATTCATTATTTATAATAAAAATAATATTATAGTACGATTTTGCACAGTTAAAGATGTATATTTTTTACAATCATCCAAATTTTCATCAAAAAGAAATACGTTTGATGAAAAGGTTGATGTTTCGGCGTTCGGTGTTCAAGCTTTCTATGCCTTATAAAAGATCCTGAGGCTCAGAGTTTTTATCTATGTTTCCAGACCTAAAGAAGTACAAATACGTGTATTTTCTTACAACTCACTTTCGCTCTCTACTCGCGCATCGTCGATATTTAAATTCAATAAACACAATTGAATATAGTAATTTATTTTATGTACGAAATTATAATTTATTTATTATTATGTAAATTCGTCGAAAATCTGTATAAAGTTTATTAATCAAAAGATTTTCAAATTTAATGATCATTGTTACGTAGAGGAAATAATCCACAATGGTGTGAAATGGCAGTTCAATTGCGAATTTGAAAAGCTTGCCTAAAAAATCACTAGAAAGCTGTTTAATGTAAAGAACAGGCCGGTTTTGTCCAAATACAATCATTCTACCATATCAAAAAATAGAATAACCCTGACATACATATATATGTATATGTATATTCATATAGAGAGAGAGAGAGAAAGAGACAGAGTATACAGCAAAGTATGCTGCATCTAAAAAATAATATTTTTGTACCAAAAATTAATTTAATTGTTTTCAATACAAAAATTGACAGTATGCATGCTAGATACTTTTAAAACAAAAGATACATATCTATATAAATTTTTTGATTTTGTTCTATGTTTTGATATTTAATTAAAGAATTAAATAAATCTATATAAAAAAAGTTATATAAAAACATTCAGAAAATTATTTTCGATACAAACTTGTTCAACCAAATGCTCCATACTTTGTGATACTCTGTATATGTATACATATGATCGCTTATTAACCTCCTTTTATCTTTCATTCTACGTTATGAATACTTTTATAAATACTTATTTAATTAAATGTTGATTGATAACTTGAGGTAACAGACAAAAGCACATCGGAAATATTTTCAAACAAATGATTTTTCATATACCTTATCTGGAAAAAAAAATAATTTTCTGCATGTAAACTAATTCTCCCTTTTAAATTTTACATTTTTCGTTTAAAGGAGGTTAAAAAATGCGTTTTTCTAATGCACAAGAAATGCACAAGTCGTAAAAAATGCACATATAAAAACAATTGCTTTCTTTTTTTTTCTTAATATTGTTCTGTGATTTTTGAAGATCCAATTTTAAATGCATAGAGAAATTCATGGGAACATTATTTTCTTACCTAAAAACGTAGGTTTTTGAAATTCCAGTTTGGAAAGCTTTAATACACATATATAATATATGATATTATATATATGCATATAATTTATATATATATATGTATAATTCTAAAAAATCGATCTTTATTAGTATCACAATTTTAAACTCATGCACATTATAAAAACAATAATTTGAAAGCGTACGTAGATTTTTCGATGCATTTAAAATTGAATAATACGAAACAGTTCTTGATCTACGATCGGCCCTAAGTACCAATTGATAAATCTCGATCGTCGATATCTAGTTCGTTCCGACAGACAAGTTGAAATCAAAAAAATTGATTACTGTATAATGATTACTTCGAAGAAAATCAAGTAGAGCAATTATTAACAAATTCGAACAAAACATAAAGAATAAAATTTTTCTTAAAAAATAATAATACTATTTTTTTCTTTGCTTCGAAATTCAATATTTGAATTTTTTTTCTTTAAAAAAATATTCAGATGTAAAAAGTAAGTTTTCGTTTCTCTTAAATGTTATTTAGCTTTTGATCGTTCAATTAAATTTGATTTTTTGTTAGAATCATTTTTAAACTTCTATAAAATATAGAACAAAGAAGTTTTATCTAGATTTATTCTTATTTACTTGATTTGATGCTGATATTTTTCCCAAAATAGTCTTTTTCAACATCTTGATCATCAAAAAGTAAATTTTAGCTTTTTGAAAATTCTATTATAATCTTACATCTTTCGGAACGATGCCTAGAATCGTCCATCATTGGCTCCATTATTAAAAATAATTACAAATAACATATTACAATATTTTTCGCGATAAAAATAAAAACTGCGGCAATATAATAATAATTAATAATAATAATTAATATAATAACTATAATATAATTATAATAGATATTAATGCTGCCTAAATGCGGTGTTAATTCGTTATCGATTATGCAGCCCCAATAATATATTTCTAGTCTCAATCTTACCCGACGAAATGGTAGCGTATTCCACAAAAAATGACGAAAATCTTCAAGAAATAAGACATAATTAAAAGAATGTCAAATATAAATGTGTAAGTATGGCATTTAAATACTATTAATACGTCATAGCATTAATATATTCCATATTATTCCATATATTAATATACTCTGTAAATTTATATCTTGGACACTAAACTTATTAAAAACAAAAAAAGTTCGGTATTGACGTTCTTCTGCCATTTACTTATTAATTAATGTCAAAGAATATTAATTAGCTTATTGTAAATAAATATGAAAGACCTGCTTTAAGTTAATCAGAAAAAAGTCGTCATTTTTTATGGAGTTCTGGAAGAAACAGAGATAAAATACTAGTTGGTACGGCCCTGTCGGGTTTTTTATGTACAGAAGAAAGCCGTCGCCCTCATCTAATGGCATCGTTGGGCGCATTGGAATCGATTTCTGAACTCATACAAATGAGTTCTCCGATTCGAACACAATTTTGATCGAAACGGATCTCGTACACACTTCTTGGACCTGGGTAATTTTATGGATTTCCTGCGTTGTGAGGGTTCAATAAGTGCTGTGTTTTCTTGTTCAGTTGACAGTTTCCTCACCATCGATACTTTCGTCCTGTGTCGTCGAATCGTCACCGGATCCACCAGTTTGGACAGAGCCGCGTTTCAGACGCGTCGAACTAAGGCTTATTGGAGGACCACCTCGTCTGCAAACATTTTTAGCAGTTTTAATCAAATATCTGTTGGATGTTGAATAGGAAAAGGTGACGGAAGTTTCACAATAATAAATAAAATAATTTCTAAATTGTCAAAATCGAATGTTGTTTTTATCTACAGATTTTTATACCCTTTTCTCAAGCAATCAATTATTCGTATAATCAATAAAATAGTAACAAATTATGCGACAAGTATTTTAAAATCAATTAAAATATTTTAAGATATTTTTAAAGTTATATAAGGAAAAATGAATAAATA